CCCTTCACTTACACCTTCCCGGTGAGGCGCCCCCTCACCTCCGTCGGGCGGGGATGCGGCCGCGGCCGTTTTTGAGCTCCCCCCACCATATGCGGCGACCGCAGATTCTCCAGTCCGGCTCGGAAGTTTCAGCACCCACCCTATAAGACGACACCCGGCGTATAAGACGACCCCCGACTTTTGAGAAGATTTTCCTGGGTTAAAAAGTAGTCTTATACGCCAGAAAATACAGTACCTTGACCAGAAAGGTTTCTGGAGCTATAACAATAACCTTTTCCTCGTGACAAAGACAGTGTGGCTCTTGTATGGATATGGGAACTAATTTCCAAACTTGCCTTTCAGAGGTAATGGTGACTAGAATGACTAGTCACAGGCTTCTCTAATTTGTCCTTGTAATAAACTGGGCACCCAACACTCAAATGGAGTATTCAATGTGCCTGGCTACAAAATACTGCTATGGCTGGTACCCACATTTCTACAGTGCTTGGTTGCAGGACTCCAGTCAAACCTCCTGGAGAAACTCCAATGTAGGTGAGTTCACCAAAATTTTGGGATTATAATATTTGCACCACAATAGCATCTAGAGGTCAGGGTTCCAGTGTGCTGGGCATTGCATAAACAAAGAGGCTACCCTTGCCCCAAAGAGCTTTCTGTTTTCCCTCACACCAAAAAATGTAAATTTGACCAGATAAATGAATGAAATATCCTGGCTGAGTTCTGTCTGGACATCAAACTGTATCAGAGCCAGATGAAAAGAGGGAATCAATTGGGACTTTGAGAGCCACAGTTCATTTTATGATTCCCCTCCTTGTTTGAAGGGTGAAAGCGTTACTTGTCTCTACCACCAGCAGATTACTTAACTTTCCATGCTGGCCAGTGCAGAGTACAGTCAAAGCTTTGCCCCCTCCCACCCCCGCTCACTCAGAAAGGCTCATGTTTAAGATCTTGGGCCTGAGACCAGTAAAAGCTGTGTACATCATGGCAGTAACAAGCGCAGTCTTCCAAAGAGTAAAAGAAATGAATTAGTCTTCTGGCACTGGTTACCACCATGACACAGAGTGACTAGCCCCTTTAGGGGAGTTGGGGACAGCTACATCAGTGTCATAATTAATTAGCTGCTTCCACACCAGAGGGGTGAGACTAAGGAGGGTCAGGTGCCAGCTTAATGGACACCTAAGCCTAAGCACAGAGAGCTCAGTCAGGGATCTGGAACCTCAGGGGGTGAGTCAGCTCCTGTGGAAGGCCCTGAGTCAGGGTCTGCGGAAGGCCAGACACTCCAGGGGAACCAGTGTTCTACACAGGGCAGGGAATGATGCAAGGAACAGAGCCCAGCAGGGGCTGAGAATGGTACACCAGGGGAACCAGCCTGGGCGTGAGTGCTCTATCCCAGAGCCAGAAAGCCTCTCACAGCGGATAAGCCAGAGAGATAAGCCACGTCTCCAGCACAGATGGCTATGTGGAGAGTGGAGACGACCCACCTTGGGGAAGGAAACTGATGCTGGCAGTGCCACACTTGTCCAGCAAGGGGCACTGCATGGGGCTGCCACGCTACAACATACCTATGAATTCATGGCCAATTAATAATGCTAAAGTGGGCTACCAACCGCTGCTACCCAAAAGAATGGGGAAAAACACTATTCCTATTGCATCTCTGTACTCAAGAGTACACTTACAAAGTAAAGCCCTCATTCTGCAAACATTTACACATCAGAAAGTGTTTGCAGGATTGGACCCTGAACTATTATGTCTCTTCATTAAGGTACTGAATTACTCATGAATCCACAATATTTTCTGAAGATTTATTATGCAGCTGAATATTCATACTATCCCAAAATGCTGAGATCACTTCAAACAGGCACATGGGAAATTTGTGATGCTCAATTTGTGGTTAGTTACTAATGTAGCAACGTTTTGCATTAATGAAACTCTGATGTGCATTAATTACTATTCTGCCTCGTAAGACTTTTTTGTGCCTGTTTGTTAATATGGGAGACAAAATAACCATGTATGACTTATTGGGGGGGGACGGGGACGCAGAATGTAAGCTAAAGCTCATTTGGATTTAGAAAAAACAGACTATATTAAGGAACCATGCAGTTTCTCACCAGTGTTCCATGGAAAGATGCCATTAAGAAAAGCATTGAGCACATTTTAGTTCCTAGAAATGAACTTACCTTGGAGACCCTAGAAATTGCTGTGATCTCAGTTGTTCAGCCATATACAAAGAAGCTGCTATTGCCAGTAGTTCCCTCTTCTCAAGATCTGTCAATTTGTGTCCTAGTTTTCAAAAACAATTTTTTAAAATTGTTATATACCATGAGCCAATTTAGCGCTTCTAGCCACACAAAATAATAATCAGTAAAAACACTATTTAAGTCCTGTAGCTTAAATCTATTTTTTCCCTAAATTAAGAAACACTTAGAATGGCAGATGTTCACAGTTCCAGGATTTAAATAGTATGTTTTCATACAGCTCAGCCCTACAGTTAACACTGGTGTCTATGTTAAAAACAATCTGACAACTGAAGGGAAAAAAATTAAGTGATGCTGTAGCATCTTGTTTTCATTAGTAAAATGTCACTGGTTGACATATTGTGGCTCATGCTGATAAAGAATCCATCTGTACATTAGAACTTATTCAACGTATGCAATATTCTTTTTAATACTTTACTTTCTAAAAGCTACAGCTCTCCCTCCCTGCATGTGATGATACAGCAATATATCCTACTGGAAATACCAGGAACTGAAACTACTTGTCATCCCTATTACAGCTAGTGTCTGTCAGATCGGGGGTATTACTGTTTGTTTGTCTGTGGTAGAGCACAAATTATACTAGATGTTTTCTAAACAGAAAGTGGTATGACATCTCTGTCCCACTAAGCTTGACTTGAAAAAGAGCCAGCCAAATGAAGGTTAGGCGGAATGGGTACAACATAAAAATAGAGTGGTTAAGGTAATCTTTGGTCAGGTCTTTGTTCAGACAGTAAAAATCAGCTAGATTTCTCATAGGAAACATAGCAGAATTCAGTCTCCAAGTGAAGCTTAAATATGGAGAGGTTATTGGCCTTACAGATTAGCTCAGGAAGAACTTTCCATCACAGCAGATAACACTGAAGAAGACACAGATGGGTTTACATGAGAAGTTGACACATGGGAGGATAAGGCTGGCACCACAGGCAAAGCAGAAGGAGTTGGGAATGACTGGAAACGAAGCATAGGTGGATAAGTAAGGAGGACAGCGTTCAGCAGGCCTTTGAAGGCAGCAATACGACGTTAAATTTGATGAGGTAATGGAGGCTGAGGGATTCAAAGAGAGCCCACAGTGAAAACAACAGGCAAGAAAGACTATTTTTAGCAGAGGTGTTTTGTATGGACTGGGGGGGGCGGGTCAATGTGTGTGTTTGGGAGGCCAGAGAGCAGGATATTTCAGCATTTGACATAAATGAAGGAATGAAAGAGAGCTGTAGTTGGAAGGAAGGAACACAGACAGACAGAAAAAGATGGGTCTTAGAGATATACTGGTAAGGAACAAACTATGACATGCTATAGGGTAAAGAAGGAACACCTTGTTTTCACAACACAAAAGTGATTACCACTTTTCTTGTCAAATGTATCTGTGCCCCAGAAAAGTGCCACCAACTCAGACTAGTTGGGGGGGGGGGGGGGAGTTTCATTCATTTTATTTGGATTAGCTATTACATAGAGACCAATACAGTGGGACAAACAAAGATGCTTCATGGTTATCTTACGTTAGCAATAATAAAGGCCCAGTCTTGAAAACTCTCACATGAGGCACCATTAATTACTTGGTGCCCCAATTCCTTCACTGAAGATGTCTCACATGAGTAAAGTTCTCTCAGGTGGTCATTTGGTGTCCTGGGGCAGGTCATACAGCCTCGTTGCACCTCATCACAGTGATGGCCCTCTGAAGAAGCTCCACACTGCTCTCTGTCTCCTGCCTCAAGCAGAGCCTCTACCTGCAGCTGCAGTCGGGTCGCAAACACCATCCAGAGATCACCAAAAGACCAATTCAAAGGGTCCTCAATGTTTATTCACATTCTACTTGTGATCATTCTTAGCGCATGCCAATTTCCACGACTATAATAAAGTACGATTAGTATGATTCTTTGAAAATATATAAAATATATCTCTGAAAATTACAGCAGCAGGATTTACTTTAACTTGTGCAGTAGCATGGTTTCAAAATAAATATGTCCTCTGCCAATTTGAGGAGCAGATACAATCATTGGAGTTGGCACCTCTTGCAAAAAGAGAATGTGGAATGTGCTGCTTGGAATCCACAAAGCAGCAATGGTATCCAATTAGATTGATGCTAAATGCCCTTACACTGACTGTCACAAACCAAAAAATGAAAATGTAAAGATAACAAGGAATGACAAAAACATATAGGTCTGCATCTATTTTTTAAATTTAGCATTTATTAAAATATTTGGGCTACAGATTACTGTAACTTCCTTCACTCACTGTTTATTATTGCTTCCTTCTGCCTCAAAATGGAAACGATATGCACTTTAATGAACATATGGACAAACACAACTTCTGAAGAGAAAAACCTTGAGCTTTCTCGTGCCATTTGGTGGAAACCGTGTGAAGGCAAAATGAAAACTTGGAACTCTGAACTTGTGTGTATTTTAGGGACATATACAGGGACACCCCAGAAATGTTTGAGGTGGTACGCACTGTCAATCCCTGTGGAGCCATTCCTGCTGCAACCACTGGCCCCTTCACCTTACCTGCTGAGTCTGCGCCATGCTCAGCCCATCCTTCAGTCCAGTCCAGCCCACCCAGTTGCAGTATCACTCCCCACCCCAGAGAAGGAATATGTGCTATTGGAAGTGGGCCAAACCAGGCAGTCTCCCAGTGGGAAACCCTGTTGCAGAAGCTACCCCCATGGCAGTGGTGAGGTGAGGCAGCACTGTCCACCTCACTCTCCACTCAAATTTGTCCCTGCCAGTTCTCTGTCAGGACAAGAGGGCAGCAGGTTCAAAATGGAGTGAATGGCGTTGTGATCTGGTACACGGGGGACAGAAGGGATGACACACCAGGTCACCACACCATTCACTCAATTTTGGCCCCACTGCCTCCCCATCACGATGGAGAGCCAGCAGGACCAAACCTAAGTGGACAGCAGGGCAATCAGCACGGCTGTTTCTCATTGCTGCCAAAGGGAGGCACCATGCATGCGGCTGTGGGCACCATTGGACATGTATGATTCCACAACTTCATGAATAAACTGGTCTGACTATTATGCATAACGAAGTGAGCTTCCAGCTCTCTATACACCAAGTGTTAAAATTTAATCAATCATGAGATTTTGTTTTGTTTTTTAAATAGGTAGTACTCAAAAATAATAGTCTGATTACACGCCTTGACCCAATAAAAAGCAGAGTTCCTTATATGCTGAAAAATAGATCTTTTCCCCCTCTGTCCTAAAAACCCATGACAAGTATGTGTAACCAAATTCACGTATGCCAATATGTGGGAGAACATGCTCCCAGGAGTACAAATAGCATCAACTCATATATAAGAACAAAGAAAAACTATAAAGATCCCAATTTGCAGGTTTTATTGTATGACCTTCATCTGGGATGAAATCAATAACTGCTTTTGCACTTGCCATGTTGCAAAAACTATTTTCTTCCTCAATCTTCAATAAAAATCAAACTCCAAACAGTGAACAAGGGTCAATATCTTGAAACAGCTTAACAACAGAATAAGAGGTACATACATCTCTTCACCAATAGAAGCATAGAAAAAATATGTTTATCTGCTTTCTTTGTCACTGTTTGTATTTGTTGTGATATAATTTAAACAAACAGAAAACCAAGCATGACTGGGGCACCCACTGAGAGTGGTTCTTAAGTCTAAGGTCATATCTACACTCTGAAAACTCTACTGGCATAGCACTGCGAGTTAGACTGGCATAGCTACGTTGCTCCAAGGTGTGAATTTTTCACATCCCAGACAATGTAACCATGTCGACCTACATTTAGACCAGGCCTAAAAGATAACAAACTGTTAAAAGCGTATCAAAATTTGCTTTCTGTGTTTTGCTACAAAGGTGCCATCTGTAGCCTTTTTCATTTAAATTGAATTTAGTAATTCTGTATTAAAGTACCATGGGTTCAGCTCCTGTTGCTACAGTTTCAAGCTCAACTGAGTGAAAAATCACCTCTGGTGCTTTTCTCAAATTTGGAGGCTCCAGGAACACATGAAGACTAAGGATAGTGACCACAGACACAACCACAAGGACAAAGTCTTATCTGTACTAAAAGTTTTATTAAAGCAATAAAGAAAGTTACAATTTCCCATGCATCTATAAATCCGACAAAACCCCATGCAATGACTAAGACTGTAGTCATACTAACATCCTCAAAGATATTCTAGGGTCCGATGGACCTCTCAACAGAGAATCGTCAATAGAGGGATGGTTCCTGCTGGGGTTTCCTGTTGGGTCGTCCCTTGGGGTCTTCCCACTTTTACCCAACCAGGGAACCTCTTTTACATTGTTGTTTTGACCACACCTACTACCTTATGCATATGCATGAGGGTTTCAACACTCTTCCTTATCTGTACTACCACACCCCATGAATATTGGAGTGCTCCATTTTTCATAGATTAAGAGGAACTAAGAAACATTCTCATTAGCATCTATGCACAACCTATAACCTGCGTCAGGACAGGACATTCCATGATGTGACAATCAGGTGTCTCATGATCTTGGACAACACACTGCAGCCTACTGCGATCTAGGTTTCTGTACCATCACCTACTGGCACATCTTTTACAGTAATCTTGTGGCCTTGCTGGCACAGGGTTGTTCCTAGATCACCCACTCACATCAAGTGTTCTTAAGCCTATGGCCTAGTATGGCTAAACTAAAATCTTAAAGGTCTCGGCCTGTAGGCCTTGCATTCATCACTCCTGAATACTTGCCATGCTTATACATCTATAATCCTATAATTTAAATCTATTTAGCATACACTGATTATATATGAAATAACATATGAGTTGAGCATAACATTCAACAAAATGATAAAATGAATTAATTAGATACACATCTTATTGAAGCATAGCCTTGGAAATAGACTTCTGAAATTCTATTTAAGCCTACTTTCGATGTACTGTATAGTCAGTGTTTATTTTTATTATCTAAGAAAAAACTGCTTTAATACAATGTCAAGGCTTGAGAGGTTAACTGCTGAAAAGTCAAGAAAGTCAAAGTTATGGTTCCCCTTTAATTCAGGAAATGTAAGA